AACAGGTTCTAATCACTTTTAAATGTCATCAAAATTCTCTTAAATAATTAATTATTCCATAATATTTCCCGAGATTTACCGTATTTTTTTTTTTTTTTTGATATGATGCATCTATTTTTATAATACATTTCATTTTATTTTTAATTTTATTTATTATTAATTTTATTTTTATTATTGTTAAATTTTATTTCAACTACTTAATTGTGATAATTATATTTGAAGGAAAAAAAAATTATTGTATCTCTTAAACTGTAATAATTGCAATATAATTATTATAATTTAAAGTTATCACACTTAAAACTACAATAATTATAATAATAAACAAACTATAATATTAATAATAATAATAATAATAAAGCAAATTAATAAATAAATTTGTTTATTTAAATAGTTTGAATATTTTATTGCAATTTATTGTTAAGTAATAAATTTGTAAGATAAAATTTGATTAATAAAACGATTTTGGTATGATAAACGATAATCAAACAATTTTTATTGTATTATCTTTTTTTTCCTTCCCTAATTATCACAAAATTTTTTTTCATCTTATCAACTTATCACTAAATAATCATAACTGTTATCAAACAAGATCATGATCTGATAATCAATAATCAAGCCATTCTTCATTATATTATCTTTTTTTCCTTCCCTAATTATCACAAAATTTTTTCATCTTATCAACTTATCACAAGTAATTATAAACACAAGTAAAATTAGATGAATAATGTTTCATCTTATCAACTTATCACTAAATAATCATAATTGTTATCAAACAAGATCATTAACGGATAACTGATAATTAAGCAATTTTCAATATGTTATCTTTTTTCCTTCCCTAATCATCACAACAATTTTTTCATCTTATCAGCTTATCACAAGTAATCATAAACACAATCTTATCAACTTATCACGAGTAAAATTAGATGAATCTTATCTAACTTATCACTAACTAATCATAATTGTTATCAAACAAGATCATGATCTGATAATCGATAATCAAACAATCTTCGTTATATTATCTTTTTTCCTTCCCTAATTATCACAACAATTTTTTCATCTTATCAACTTATCACAAGTAATCATAAACACGAGTAAAAATTAGATGAATAATATTTAATCTTATCAACTTATCACTAAATAATCATAACTGTTATCAAACAAGATCAGTATCTGATAAGAAATAATGAAAAAAAAGAAACAACTACATTATATGTTATGTGGTAATTAATTTAAATTATTAATTAAAGATTTGATTTAAGAATAAAATTAAATGAACAAATATTGATAAACTAAAAGTATTATAAAACATATATACAAAGTAGGAAAAAAAAAAACGAACAAAGTAATTAAATAATTAATAATTAAAAAATTTTCATATGAAAAAAATAAAATAATAGTAAAAATTGAAAAGATTTCATTAACGATTAAAAAATGATTGAAATTAAAATGATCAAAAAATTTTTTTAATATCTATCAAAAATTTTATGGTTCACTTATGATTTTTGTTACGGAATAAAATGTTAAATTCATTTCGTTCCTTTCATATTTTAATTCAATCATTTTATTTTGAATTATTATATTTGAAAAAAAAAAAAGAAAAAAGAAGAAAAGAAAGAAAAGGCCTATATTTATATATAAATATTTAAAAAAAAACTGAAATTAAGAATCTTTTTTCTTTTCTTCTCTCTCTCCTCCCTCCCTCTCTCTTTCTCTCTCTGTCTTTTCTCGTATTTTCCCTTTCTTTTCGTTTTTTTTTTTTTTTATAAAAATAAAAAGAAATAATTTTTGTTAAAAAGAAAAAATTTTAATTTCGCTGAATTTAAAACGATTATTAGAAGAAAAAAAATCGATTAAAAATGAATAAATTTCTTTCATTTTCTATTAAAAAGGAAAAAATAAAATAAAATAAATTTTAATCGATTAAAAAATAAATAAAATACTTTAATTAAAAAAAAATAAAATGAATTTTAGCAAAAAAAAATTTTAATTATAAAACATAAATTTCTAAACGTTAATTATAAATATAATAAAAAAAAAAATTAAATTATTTATAATTACAATTTTTTATTAAACGAAAGAAGTGAAAAAGAAAGAGAGAGAGAGAGAGAGAGAAAGAGAAAAAAAGAAAAAATTTTTAATTAAATATTAAATGAAAAATTAAAAAAAAAAAAAAGAAAAAAAAAAAAATTTTTAATGTAAAATTAATTAATAAATATTTAAAAAATATAATTTTATATTTACAAAATATAATTTAATTTTTTTTCAAAAAAAAAGTAAGAAATAAAATTAATTTTCGTTTACAAATTTATTTCACAATAAATATTTTTACAATTTTGATTTTTCTTTTTTTTTTTTAAATTTTTTTTTCTCACTGTCACAATTCTCGATGTCACAATTCTCGACTTTCTCACTGTCACAATTCTCGATTTTTTCACTGTCACAATTCTCGACTTTCTCACTGTCACAATTCTCGATTTTCTCACTGTCACAATTCTCGATGTCACAATTCTCTGTCACAATTCTCGATGTCACAATTCTCGACTTTCTCACTGTCACAATTCTCGACTTTCTCACTGTCACAATTCTCGATTTTCTCACTGTCACAATTCTCGATGTCACAATTCTCGACCTTCTCACTGTCACAATTCTCGATTTTCTCACTGTCACAATTCTCGATTTTCTCACTGTCACAATTCTCGATGTCACAATATTTTTTTTTTTTTTTGTTGTCAAAACTATTAGCAATTGTTTGATGACACTGTGACATCATTTCATATAAATGAAATGAACTTCTATCATATTTCAAATACAAGGACAATTTTTTTTTTTTTTTTTAAAATAATTTTTATGCTTTGTTAAATTTTTATTTTTTATTTAAACAGTTATACCTTTTCTTTTCTTTTCTTTTTTTCCCACTTCTTTTCATTTTACTATCAATTAATTTTGTGACAAATTTTTATTTTGAAAAAAAAAAAATTTTTTTTTATTTTCAATGAAATATTTTTGATTATTTGTTAAATGAACCATAAAATTTTATCATAAATAAAAATGCTTGAAAAGAATTTTATTTTTTTATTTTTTTTTTTGTGCTAAAAATGAATTATTTTAGTGATAAATTTATTTTAAGAAATTTTAATTTCATTTTTTCTTTTCGTTTTTTTTTGAAATAATATATATTGTTATGATTAGTTTGTAAAAATTGGTGATAAATTTAGAAAAAATGATTTAATTTTTTATTTTTGAATAGTTTTTTTTTTTGAAATATTATATATTTGAAGTATTTAAAGGTAATTATTTTAGAAAAACAATTTAAATTTTATTTTTAAATAGTTTTTTTTTGAAATATTATATGTTATTTATTTTTAATGCTAATTAATTTAGAAAAACGATTTAATTTTTATTTTTGAATTTATTTATTATTTTTTTTTTGAAATATTATATATTTGAAGTATTTGAAGAGAAAAACAATTTGAATTTTATTTTTAACTTAATTTTTCTTTTACTTTATTTTTTTTTAATATAATTTTTTTTGAAATACTATGTGTTAACTTATATTTTTAAAGCTAATTATTTTAGAAAAAACGATTTAATTTTTACTTTTTGAATAGCTTTTTTTTTTTGAAATATTATATATTTGAAGTATTTGAAGCTAATTATTTTACAAAAAACATTTTTAACTTTAATTTTTGAATAATTTTTTTTTGAAATATTTTATGTTTAAGAATTAATTTTTGCTAGAATTTATCAATCAGAGACTAATTCAATAATAATTTATTATTAAAGCAAAGATCATATCTTACTTTTCTTTTTTTCTTGCTTCAATGAAATTTATAAATATAAATTGTTGTAAAACATTGTTAGCATAAGTAATAACAAAAGAAAATGATCAAACTTCATAGATATTTATTTGATAAAAGCAGAAAAAAAAAAAAATTTAGCTTATAAAAGCTTAGCTTTAAAATTTCAAATTTCAAATTTCTCCAACTAACAACAAAAATGTATCTAATATCATTGCTTTGCTATTTTCTATTCTTTAGTTGTAAGTTGTAAAATTTTATTTTAATTTTTTTGTTCTGTAAAAATTTTTGTTTTATTTATTGGTGCAGATAAATTGTCTAATTGTAAGTAAAAATTGAAAAAAAAATTAAATAATTTACTGAAGTAGATTACTTAATTAATAAAATATTACCTTTGAAAAAGGTTTGTAAGTTGTAAAATTTTATTTTATTTTTTTTTGTAAAAATTTTTTATTTTTTTTATTATTGTTATTTATTTAAATAAATAAATTTAACTGTAAAGTAGAAAAAAATTGAATAATTTACTAAAGTAGATTACTTTTTTTAAAAAATAAAATTAATTATTAAATTAAATTTTAAAAATCAATTTTTTTTTATGATAAATAAAATTAATTATTATTATAGTATGTCAAATTATTAATTCAACGTTAAATTCAACGTGTCCGACTGGTTTCAGTTTTTATGAAAATTCAAAAATGCTTTATTGTAATTTATTTTCAAAATTTTACGATAAATCATAACTATTTTGTTTACATTTATCAAATTAATTTATGATATATGTTTAGATTTTTTTATCAGTTAAATTCAGAGATAAATTGGTGATAAATATAAATATTTTGTAATTTTATTTATCAGTTAATTTCAATTTAAGTGATAAATCATAATTAAATATTTGATAAATGGTGATAAATTATAAATCATTTATTTTGTAATTTCATTTATCAGTTAATTTCAATTTAAGTGATAAATCATAATTATTTTGTAATTTTATTTATCAGTTAATTTCAATTTACAGGTGACAAATCATAATTATTTTTTAATTTTATTTATCAGTTAATTTCAATTCAGATGATAAATCATAATTATTTTTAATTTTATTTATCAGTTAATTTCAGTTAAGTGATAAATCAAATTTTTTGATAAATTTTATTTATCAGTTAATTTCAGTTCAATGATAAAAAATTTAGGTGATAAATCATAATTATTTTGTAATTTTATTTATCAGTAAGCTTTCATTTAGGTGATAAATCACAATTGTTTTGCAATTTTATTTATCAGTTAATTTCAGTTTACTGATAAAAAAATTTAGGTGATAAATCATAATTATTTTTTAATTTTATTTATCAATCAATTTCAATTTTAGGTGATAAAATGGTCAGATAAGCCAATGAGTCAAATAAATGCGCGTTTGTCGTGCGCAAGTAAAAATGCTTTTCTAGCATCTATTGAATCTGCTGAAGAAAATGAACATATCAGAAGTATTTGAACTTTTTTATAAGAAATTTTTTTTTTTACTAAAATTAAACTTTTATAAATTTTTCTAATTTTAATTTTAATTCAAATTAATTACAGGTTTAAAGAAACATTTAATTAAAAAGTTTAACAAAATAAGTGATTTATGAACTAATTTAAAAAGTTTGAATTATTTAAAAAGTTTAAAGAAGCAATTTACGAGATTAACAGTGAAAAAAAAATCAACAATAATAATAAATATTAATAAATAATAAATAGTATTACAAAATTAAAAGTAAATTTAAATAGGAATCTAAAAATAAGATATAAAACAATTTACAATATTAATTACATATTATTAAATTAAACAAAAAATAAAACAATTTGCAATATTAATTACATATTATTAAATTAGACAAAAATTAAAACAATTTACAATATTAATTACAATTATATTAAAATAAAACAATATTGATTACAATTATATTAAATTAAAACAATTTACAATATTAATTACAATTATATTAAATTAAAACAATTTACAATATTAATATTTTATATTTATATTAATTTTTAAATTTAAATTTTTTCAATTTTTACAAAAAAAAAAAAAAAAAAAAATTTTTAAAGGTTTATTATTGGATGAAAATGTGGAAAGTGCATATATCGGTTTACAATCAGTTCCGTACGATGTAACACAACGATATTTCTGTACCGGTGAAACGATCGATTATACAAATTGGTTATCCGGAAAACCGGATAATAAAAATATAAAAGATAATGGTTGTGTTATATTAAATGCTAAAAATGGCAAATGGATTGATTACAGTTGTGATGCTAATGATGAATTAGGACCTTGGGCAACTATTTGCCAAATTAAAGATACCCGGGAAGAATATGATGAGTTAAAATGCCCTAAAGGATTTGAATATTGTTCAAATACAAAAAATTGTTATAAGGTTTGTTAGAAAATTTCATTAATTTTTAATATAAATATAAATTTAACTCAATTTTTTTTTCATTATTTTATAATAAAAAAAGGAAAAAAAAAATGTTATAAATTTTTATTACTTTCAAAGTAAGTTTTACTTTTCTTTTTAAGTTTTAATAATAAAATTAAATCTTTTCTTTAAAAATTATTTTGCTATTTTTATAGCAAATTATTACTTTAGTTTTTTATATATAAATAATTCTAATACTTGGTTTTATAGGTAATAATTGCATTACTTATTTTTATAAGTAATAATTCCATTACTTATTTATAATAATTGCATTACTTATTTTTATAAGTAACATTCTAATAATAATTAATTACTTATTTTTATAAGTAATAATTTTATTACTTATTTTTATAGGTAATAATTGCATTACTTATTTTTATAAGTAATAATTCCACTTATTTTTAGTAATAATTCCATTACTTATTTTTATAAGTAATAATTCCATTACTTATTTTTATAAGTAATAATTGCATTACTTATTTTTATAAGTAATAATTGCATTACTTATTTTTTAGGTAATAATTCCACTTATTTTTATAGGTAATAATTCCATTACTTATTTTTATAAGTAATAATTCCATTACTTATTTTTATAGGTAATAATTGCATTACTTATTTTTATAAGTAATAATTCCATTACTTATTTTTATAGGTAATAATTCCATTACTTATTTTTATAAGTAATAATTCCATTACTTATTTTTATAGGTAATAATAAAGGAAAAAGGAATGAATCAAACAGAGGCGCAAAATGAATGTAAAACTTATAATGCGCATCTTGTAAGCATTGATTCGGAAGAGGAAAATCAATTTGTTTCTGGTATTTTTTATAATTTAACTTTATTAAAACAATAAAATTTCAAAAATTAATTTATAATAATTCTATAGAAAATAAACAAAAAAAAAAAGAAAGAAAATAAAATTTTATTAAAAAAATATGAAAATGATCTCAAATATTCAAATTATTTTTTAATTTTAAGTATTTCTATAACATTTATATTACTTTTTCTTCATTTAATTTAATATAATCTTTGATTAATTCATTACTTATTCAATGCTAATTTAGTTCAATTAATTATATTTAATTAATAAATTTAATTTCGAATTTATACACTTTACAAGTTTTGTATTATATTTTATAATAAATATTTAAAAAATAATTTCTTTTTCCTTCTTTTTCATCATTTTAAAATATTATTTATTAATTTTTCATACAAAATTATAATATTATATTTTTTTATTTTATTATATTTATTCTTTATTTCTATTAATATTATATTATATTATATATTTTATTCCATTTCACAAAATTATATTATACAAAATTAAATTAATTAATTAATAAAAAACAGAAAAATAATTTCTTTTTCCATTTTCTCATCTTTTTAAAATATTATTTATTATTTTTTTTATGCAAAATTATAATATTATATTTATTCTTTATTTTATTAATATTATATTATATTTAAATATATTTTATTCCATTTTACAAAAATTATATTTTATTCTATTTTACAAAATATAAAAAAAGTTAAATTTTAATTAATTAAAAAAAAAAACAGAAAAATAATTTCTTTTTCCATTTTTCCATCTTTTTAAAATATTATTTATTATTTTTTTTTTATACAAAATTATAATTATTTATTTATTCTTTATTCTATTATTACAATATTATATTTATATATATTTATTCTATTTTATAATTATATTATACAAAAATTAAATTTTAATTAATTAAAAAAAATATAAAAGTAAAAAAAATAAAATAAATTGAAATTAAATTTTATAAAAAAATTTTTTTTTAAGATTTATCAATGAAACATCCACTTTCGGCAATGCGTATATTTATTGGATTAGAATTACATCAAACTGATGATATTAGTGAACAGCATTGGTTAGATGGTACAACAATTGATTATACAAAATGGGATTATATGAAACCGGATAAGGAACGTGTTCGTCCGGAACATGAATGCGTGATAATGATTCCGGAACGACATGGTGTATGGTCGAATTGGTCATGTGCTGATTCATGTTGCGCTAAACATGCTATTTATGGAGCTATTTGTGAAATTGATCATGATGATAAGATAATATAAAATATAAATTTAATTCTAATTTTAATTTTTAAAAAAATTTTTTTTTAATTTAATTTAAATTTATTAAAATTCAAAAAAAAAAACTATATGAAATAATAATAATTTATTAAATTTTGTTTTTCTTTTTTTTCATTGTATGAAATAAATTATTGTAATTAATAAAATTGCATTGAGAATATGCAAAAAGAAAAAAAATTATATTAATTGGAATATAATATGAATATTTATTTTATGTAAACAATTAAATAAATTTTTGTAAGTTAAATAAAATTTAACAAAAAAAATTTTCACAAAACAGAAAAACCAAAAATGAGAAAATGAGAAATTAAAATAACCAAAAAAAAAAATTATTTTAATTGTTAAATAATTTTAATAATTTTTTCGTCTAAGATTTAAATAAATTATTGATTGTATTTTTAGTATTAAATTAAATTATATTAAGTTATTTTTTTTAAATGATTAATATTAAAATATTTTTTAAATAAATAAAAAAAATGTTAAAATTATGTTAATTCTGATTATTTTTAATATAAATTAAAATAATAAATTATGGAAAAAAACTGATTAATGAATAAAATGAAATTAAATTTTGGCAAAAAAAATTTGCATTTCCGTTTTTTTTTTTATGAAATAAAAAAATATAAAAGAGAAGAAATGTTATCATTGTTATCAGTTGGTTACTAATCATTTTGCTAATCTTTCAAATTTTAACAATTCCATCTGAAAACAATTTTAAATTTTTTATTGAGTAAACAAATGTCTAAACATAGTATTAATTATAAACGTAATCGAAGGAAACCAAAATGGTAATATCTAATTGATATTTGTTTAATTTAACACTTTTCTTATCATTTTTTTTTTTTCTTATCAACTTTTCTATCAATTTTACATATTATTTACTATTATTATACTATTATATTATACAAATTTTAAATTATACTAATTATTTAAATTTATTTAAATTATACTATTTGTATAGTATAACTAATATTGAAATTGTTAAAGTGAGCATTTTACTTTAGAATAAGTTAGAATAAATTTTATTATTTTTAAAAATTTAGTATTAAAAAAATTCGAGAATTTATATTTTAAAATTTTAAGAGTTTATATTAAAAGTTATTTGAAACAAAATTAAAATAAAAATAAAAAGTTTAAAATAAAATTTAGGTCTAGTCCAGGTGGAACACCTGGACCATATGGTCGAATTCGACAAAAACGAGATTTCATTGATATTAAGAAAGAAATTGAGAAGTTAAAACGAATTAATCGGTAATTTAATTAGCTATCAAATTTCTAAATAGTAAGAGGGAAAGTACAGAGAGAGAGAGAGGGGAAGAGAAAGAAAGAAGAGAGTAATACTTTTGTATGTTTAACAATGATAAAAATATTATAATTATTTCAAAAAAATACAAAAATCATTTCTTTTTTTTTTCTTTTTAGAAATTTATATTAATGAATTTATCAAAGTTATATTTTTGAAAAATTTAGGATTTTATACTAAAAGTTATTTAAAAAAAAAAATCACACTTATAAGTAGGTTATTTATTTAAATAAAACCTACAAATCGATTATTTAATTAAATAAGTATTACACCTATAAATAGTTATTTATTTAAATAAAACCTTTAAATCGATTATTTAATTAAATAAGTATTACACCTATAAATCGATTATTTAATTTAATATGTATTACACCTATAAATCGATTATTTAATTCAATAAGTATTACACCTATAAATCGATTATTTAATTCAATAAGTATTACACCTATAAATCGATTATTTAATTAAATAAGTATTACACCTATAAATCGATTATTTAATTAAATAAGTATTACACCTATAAATCGATTATTTAATTAAATAAGTATTACACCTATAAATCGATTACTTAATTAAATAAGTATTACACCTATAAATCGATTATTTAATTAAATAAGTATTACACCTATAAATCGATTATTTAATTAAATAAGTATTACACCTATAAATCGATTATTTAATTAAATAAGTATTACACCTATAAATCGATTATTTAATTAAATAAGTATTACACCTATAAATCGATTATTTAATTAAATAAGTATTACACCTATAAATCGATTATTTAATTAAATAAGTATTACACCTATAAATCGATTATTTAATTAAATAAGTATTACACCTATAAATCGATTATTTAATTAAATAAGTATTACACCTATAAATCGATTATTTAATTAAATAAGTATTACACCTATAAATCGATTATTTAATTAAATAAGTATTACACCTATAAATCGATTATTTAATTCAATAAGTATTACACCTATAAATCGATTATTTAATTCAATAAGTATTACACCTACAAATCGATTAATTAAATAATTATTACATCTATAAATAAACAAAAACAAAAAAGCAAAGGAAGCATTTCATATTGAAAAAAATGTAAACAAAAAAAAAAAAAGAAAAAATTGGCATATATTTTCAGGAAATTAAATAAGACTGAAATTAACAAGAAATCAATGGAAGGAATGGAATTAGAATTTTCATCTAAATTATTTGATTATAATTTAAATAAACAAACACAAAATGAAATGCATTTAAATGCATTATTTGAGCAGAAAAGCGATGAAAATAATGCAAATTGTGCTAATATAACAAATGTAAATCAAAATTTTAATTTAAATCAAAAATTAAATTCAAATCAAAAATTATTAAATGATGAAAATTTGATCAAAAATTTATCAGTGAAACAACGTGCGTAAATGTACGAACCTAACAAATGCTAATAAAAAATCATTTCAATGCATCATGAAAATTTGATTAATAAATTGAATAAAAAATTAAAATCAATCGAATTATTCACTAAAAACAATTGGCAAAAACGACGTATTATAAAGCTAAATGAAAAAAATGCCGTAAAGTTGAAAAAGAACTTTTGCGCACAAATTTTCTTTTTATAATAAATGAATTTGTAAAAAATGTATTTATTTAATTAATTGCAATAAATGAAATGATATTATCAATTTATAAATTATTTTGACATTATTTTTGTTAATTTATAAAGCTAAATGAAAAAAATGCCGTAAAGTTGAAAATGAACTTTTGCGCACAAATTTTTTTTTATAATAAATTTGAAAAAATGTATTTATTTAATTAATTGCAATAAACGAAATGATATTATCAATTTATAAACTATTTTGACATTATTTTTGTTAATTTATAAAGCTAAATGAAAAAAATGCCGTAAAGTTGAAAAAGAACTTTTGCGCACAAATTTTCTTTTTATAATAAATGAATTTGAAAAAATGTATTTATTTAATTAATTGCAATAAACGAAATGATATTATCAATTTATAAATTATTTTGACATTATTTTTGTTAATTTATAAAGCTAATTAATTAATTAATTAATTAGATGATTGTTTCATATTATTTCATATCACTAAGTTATACTAAGTAATCTTAACAGGTAAAAAAAAGTAAAAAAAAAGAAAATATGATAGAATTGAATAACATATTGCGTTTAATTACCGGAATTATTAAATATGAATTACGAAAAAAAAAATTCCCTCTTTTCTCTCTGTCTCTCTCTCTCTCTCTCTCCCTCTTTATTGTTAAATTCTTAAATAATTCAATAAACAAATAATCACTAACATATATTAACAATGATTTCTCTTTTTTGCTGATTTTAGACTGATCAAAACTTCGAGATCAAATTCATAGTTTCATCTTATAATTATTGATCGATTGATCTGATTCAATCAGTGATTGAGATTTTGTGAGATCAAATTTATACTTTTGCATCGCAATAATTGATAGTGATTTCTTGATCGAATTCATAATAATTGTGATTTCTTGATTGATTTTCTAATGATTATGATTTCTTTATCAAATTGATAATGATTGCGATTTCTTTATCAAATTGATAATGATTGTGATTTCTTTATCAAATTTATAATGATTGCGATTTCTTTATCAAATTGATAATGATTGTGATTTCTTTATCAAATTGATAATGATTGTGATTTCTTTATCAAATTGATAATGATTGTGATTTCTTTATCAAATTTATAATGATTGTGATTTCTTTATCAAATTTATAATGATTGCGATTTCTTTATCAAATTGATAATGATTGTGATTTCTTTATCAAATTGATAATGATTGTGATTTCTTATCAAATTGATAATGATTGTGATTTCTTTATCTTTTATCAAATTTGATAATGATTGTGATTTCTTATCAAATTTATAATGATGATTTCTTAATCATGATTTTTGATTTACTGATTGTGATTTCTTTATCAACTTTATAATGATTGTGAATTTTTAATCAAGTTTATAATAATAGCGATTTCTTATCAAATTTATAATGATTATGATTTCTTTATCAACTTTACAATCATTGTAATTTCTTTATTAAATTTATACTGATTGTAATTTTTTTTGACAAATTCGATCTTTTTAATTATTAATTATGAGTTAGACAACAAATAATCCAGACAATTATTGCAAATTTATTGAAATAATATTAATAAACATACAGTAATTTATCATTCTTGATAAACTGATAAACTGATAAGCCGATCGATCATTTCAATCAATTTATCAATTTTATTTTAGTATTACATTGCAATCAAATTACTCCAATTAAATTGTGAGAGAAAAAAAAAACAAAATTTTCCAGTCATTCATATTGCAAAGAAATAATGATAAGATCAAAAATTTGTATTTTCTTTTTAATTTCTGATTTTCCGGATTAATTTGCATGAAATTTCCGGATTTTTGTTTATTAATATATTAATACATTCGTTAGATTCTTTTTTTTTACTTTTTTTCCTTCAATTTTTAAATTAATTAAATTAGTAATTAGTTAAATTCATAAATTTCTTTATTCTACTTTATTTATTTTTCTAATTATTTTATTTATTTCATAAATTGCAGCTTATTTTACACATATTTTTGATAGAAAAGTATGATTATTTGTTGTTTACGTCACCAATGTACACGTTTGACGCAAATGACGTAAGTGTATGACTCATATTTAGGTAAGTAGCATTGAATCATTGTGTAGAAGACTTCATGCATTCCTAAAATATTTAAAATATTTCAAAGAAAAAAATAAATTACAGCTTATTTTACACATATTTTTGATAGAAAAGTATGATTATTTGTTGTTTACGTCACCAATGTACACGTTTGACGTAAATGACGTAAGTGTATGACTCATATTTAGGTAAGTAGCATTGAATCATTGTGTAGAAGACTTCATGCATTCCTAAAATATTTAAAATATTTCAAAAAAAAAATGAGCAATGAATTGCAAAAATGATTTAGTCAATCGTTTTCAAAAATTAAAATTGATTCGAGGCGGTATTGTGCATTATTTGAATGCGCTAATGACCGGTTCAATTTTTATATATTTTTTTTAAACATTTTTAATAGCTAAATAAAAAACGAAAAAAAAAATGCAATCTAAACTTCACTGAATGATTGGAATGTTTGGTAATTTTAATAAATTATTAAATTATTAAAAAAATATTAAAATACTAAAAAAATATTAAATTATTAAAAAAAAAAATTTATTGCAAATTATACAATTTTTTTCTCTTTTTTTACTTAATTTTTATATATTATTATTTATAAATTGCGCAAATTTAACATTAATTAGCAATGGAAAATTAAATTTTTTTTTTTTTAATTTTAAAATTATCTGAAATTTTTATTTTGCATCGTTTAAATTGAAAAGAACAATGAATCACTTATCATAGTTTTAATCAAAATTATTCAGTTAATTTGAATTTATTTGCAAAAAAAAAGAAAGAGAAAAAAAAATTATTTTTTTTTAATTTACTTTTTTTCCTTCAGTTTCTAAAATTAATTAAATTAGTAATTAGTTAAATTCATAAATTTCTTTATTTTACTTCATTTATTTTTCGAATTATTTTATTTATTTCATAAATTGCATTAATATTAAACTCTTTTAAAAAATTTTTCAAATACATTTAATTAAACTATTTAAATTTTTAATTTAAAAAGTTTAATTTTTTTTTTCTTTAAATGATAATAAAGTAAAAGATAAAAATTTTTAATATTCAAATGTTATTTTTTTATAATTGAATTTTTTGATAGTAAAAATTTATAAATTTCGAAAAATATTAAAAAAACTATTTACAAAAATTATTTACTTTTTGAATATTTCTAACATAGTCTTACAATTATTATTAAATTTAAAAATTATTTAAAAAAACTTTCAAAAATTTGTTTGAAATGAAAAATTGGTAAAATTGTAAACCGTTTTTTTTTTTTTTATGATTGCAATTTTTGTTTATTTGCGCTCAGGCGGTTAATGTCACTATTTGGTGACATCATCCGTATGTCATACAAAAAAAAAAAAATAAAATAAAATAAAAATAATAATAAAATGAAGAAAATTATTTACGACGAAAAAGAAAAAAAAAAGTGCTCAATTTCATATATAATTGATGGTAATTAGTTCAATAATAGTTTTTAATCATTTAACAAATTTTTTTCAATGAATTTTTTTTTGTTAAAATTTTTGAAATCTTGTTTGAAATTTTTAAATTACATTCGACTCAGCTCAGATCGAATGAACAAATGTATCTAATCGATCTCAAATTGCTCTTAATATATCAACATTTTCAATCATTAAAAACGAAAATGAAATGATTTCAAAAAAAAAGTTTTTTTTTTTATTATTTATATTTGTTTGTTTATTTTTATTTATATTTATGTATTTATATTTGTTTATTATTTATTTATATTTATTTGTTTATTTTTATTTATATTTATGTATTTATATTTTTTTATTTATATTTATTTATATTTACCTATTTATATTTGTTGAATTTATAATTATAGAATTTTATCATTTATTTTATATTTATATTAATTTATTTATTTTTATTTATATTTATGTATTTATATTTGTTTATTTATATTTATAGGTTTTTATCATTTATTTTATATTTATATTTATTTAATTTGTATTTATATTTATTTATTTATTTATATTTACGTATTTATATTTTTTATTTTATAATTATAGAATTTATTATTTATTTTATATTTATATTTATTTATTTTTATTTATTTATATTTGTTTATTTATATTTATATCTATTTATTTATATTTATATATTTATATTTGTTTATTTTATTTGTAGAATTTTATCATTTATTTCATATTATTTATATTACTGATTTTTTGTAAACAATTTAAATGCACAAAAAATCATTTTTCAATATATCAAAATTATTTTAGATAAGTAAATGAGATAAACAAGTAAAATTTTGTACTAAATTTTTGTTATATTTTATTTTATTTGTAAGATTAAAAACAATTTGTTTTTTTAATTTGCATAAGTTTAACTAATCATTTCATTTAAATACCTTAATTTTCTTAAATATCTTTTTTAAAATATTTAAATACCTTAATTTAAATACGCTAAATAGAAATAAGATTTTTTTTTCCTTTTCCAAATCAAATTTAGGAGAAAGAAGCTGCATTTTTAATTCATTTCAATAATTTTAATCAATTATTTCAGTACTTTTAATCAAAATCATTGAATTACTTTTTTATCAAATTTAATTTAATAATAAAAAACTGAAAAAAGAAAATATAATAAAATAAACAATAAATTGAGAAAGAAAATGAAAAATTAAAAAACTTTTCGATTAAAATTATTCATATCAGAAATTTTAAAGTAATACATTTGATATTTGATAAATTACTGAATGTA